ACGTAACTGATACTAGCAACACGTAACTGATTATGTAACTGATACTAGCAACACGTAACTGATACTAGCAATACGTAACTGATACTAGCAATATGTAACTAGTATCAGGCTGAGTTTGTATAAGCTTGCTTGGTGAATTTGCCTGCAGTCAACCCAAACCACACATGCACGCACACAGGTTTAGATCTTTGATGTTATTCCTCTTTGTTTCTCTCGTGCTGTCCTCCCCCTCCGCTCCTCTTCTCCTTCCTATCAGTAGGCAAATTAGAAATCTTACTTCAGTTTGCTGTTATCAGAACCACTCGCCATTCGCTCCACTAGAGGTGACCTTGATTGGTGTTCTGCCTCCTACCTGTTGGGGATTATAATAATATCCTGCTGTGCTTCAGTCGTATTTGTGAAAGTGTGTGTCGGTGTTTGCATCTTTGTGTACTGTAGTGATGATAATGGGTAACTGTGGATCAATAAAGGAGGCCCTTTCATGTACCGTAACACGTAACGGTGTGTCTTTCTTTTCCTCTCAGGCTCAGTGTGTGTGTGTCTTCTACTGTCCTCTATCGTGATAATAACAATGAAATATCAAGCTCCAAAGAGATGGCGCTGCACGACGCATTAGAAAGTGTGTGTCTGTGTGTGTGCAGCACTTTGTTCCAGAGTAGTAATCAGTTTGCTTCCTGTTAGGGTGGGTTGTTTACAAAAACCTTTATTAAGAGCTCGCACATAATCCCATCTCTACATCCCAAATGTATGTGTTCCAGACATCAGACAAGTTGGTTATTTCTTTGCACTCGAGCCAGCTGTGTGTACAATTTATGAGTGTATGTTGCATTTGAGCTTGATGTTTAGTAAATACGTCAGACACTGTTAAGCATCTCTACTTGGAAAACCAAGTTGGACAGTATGACAAGTACCACAACAACTCTTTTTGTGAACATTATTACGACGTTGCATTGAAGTTAGCTGTGGTAGCAGAGCTACTTCAGCCAACCAAAAAATGTACAAACGACTTAACCATATCTTGCAGACTGTAAGCACAGGCTCCTCTGCACTAAATACAGACTTTGTTCTTTCCAGGAGCTTTGAATGAAACAATTTTTCTGTCTGCTCTTGGGGTGTCATTGACTGTCTCTGGCTCTGAGCAACAGCAGAGGCTTTTAAAGGAGATTTTACCTTGGTTTGTACCTCGGTTTGTAGTTTGGAGTCTGTCCATGTCAGTCATTTGTAGGCCTGCACCCCTTAAAAGCTGATGACTCAGATCATTGGTCAGGGACTTAAAGCCTTTTTTTCCCTACAGCCTCTAAATCAACCCACTGGATTCTGCTACTCG